GCCTCCATATACCCACAATAAATTCTTTCATTTATTAGTGTGCCCCTCACAAATCCTTGCAGTCAAGAGTATGAGTTTTAGCTGTATTCCTGATGCTTGCAATACTGTCCACCATGCCCTTTCTTGAAATTGCTTCTTCCCTTGACTTCCATGATACTGTGTATTTTTTTCCAGATGCTCTACATTCCTACAAGCTGCTTCCCTTTGTTCCTTGATTTCCTGTTCCTCTTCTCATCCCAAAAGGCAAAAGTCCCATCATCAGTCTTCCTGTCTTTGTGTATTTGCTCTTTCAGTTGCTGACTCCTTGTCTTCTGAACTCTTTGTGCTGATGACTCTCAGATCTATATGTCCAGCTCACAGCTCCCTCCTGAGGATGGATTTCCTTTAAGGATGCCTACTGCTCATTTCCCTTTGGAGAATCTGCCTTACCTGGGACCTCAACATGTCTGAAACGGGCCTCCTCCTCTTTCTCTCCAAACCCACTTCTATGCCTGTTAGTAGAGCTACAAATCTCCTCGTCAGTCAAACTCAAAACCAGTCATGTTTGACCCCATCCTTTCCCTCCTCATGCTTGTGTTACCAAGAGGTGAACTCTTCTTTGCTACTGATTTTTCATATTCCTCTCCATTCTTACTGTTGCTACCATAATGTGGGCCTTGATTACTAATTGCTAACTAGATCCTTGCTGCTCACTGCTTGGCTCTTGACCAGCACCATCTGCATCACTTTGGCTCATGTTAGAATGCAGAGGCTCAGGCTTAACCCCAGGCTTGCTGAGTCAGGTCCCCAGTCATTTGTCTGCTCACTGAAGTTTGAGAAGCACTAGGCCAGTCCACATCAATAAACTCTTTGGCTCACACCTGTAATTCCAGCACTTTAGGAGGCCGAGGTGGGAAGATCATTTGAGGCTGGGAGTTTGAGGCTGCGGTGAGCCATGACTGCTCCATTGCACTCTAGCCTGGGTAACAAAATGAGACTGTCTCAAAACAAACAAACAAACAAACAAACAAACAAACAAACAAACAAACAAACAAACAAACAAACTAACTAACTAACTCTTAAGTGGAATCCCTGGCTCTAGTCTCTTCTTTCCTTTCATATATCCTACAGACCACAGTGATGTAAATTTCCTCTAATCATATTATTTTCTCTCAACTCAAATTTAATGAGCAATGACTGTACTGTCTAAGGAATAAAATCCACATTTCTTTCTTTGTAAGGGACAGGGTCTTCCTCTGTCACCCAAGCTGGAGTGCAGTTGTGAGATTATGGCTCACTTCAGCCTCAGACTCCTGGGCTCGAGTGATCCACCCACTTTAGCCTCCGAGGTAGCTGGGACTACAGGTGTATGCCACCACACCCAGCTGATACTTTAATTTTTTACAGAGATGAGGTCTCCCTAATGTTGCCCATGCTAGTCTTGAACTCTTGGGCTCAAGTTATCTTCTTGACTTGGCCTCCCAAAGTGCTTGGATTATAGGTGTGAGCCACCACACCCTGCCTAAGGTCCACATTTCTCAGAAAGTGAGGCTCTCAGCCACCTACCCAATCTATTTCCCCAGACTTGTGTATGCTGTTTCACTGATATATTCCATATTTCAGGCCAACAGAACTAGAAATGCAGTATGGCACTAGTGGAAAAGAATCTTAACTAAGAATCACTTTTAGCAATGGCATAAGCTGGTTCTATAATCTCAGGCAAAATGTGTGTCATCTCAAATCCTGGATTCCTCCTCTGCAAAATAAGAAAGTTAGACCAGGCCAGTGCTTTAAAGATTTTTTGGCTGCAGCCTACAGTGAGAAATACATGTGTATCCGGTATTCACATCCATACATAAATATAAGTACAATTACAACTGGAGCAAAAGTTGGACAAAATAATATTTACTCTTTCTAAATGTAATGCACTCTAACATTTTCTATTCTCTTCTCATCAATTTATTTCATTTTTAAAATGCAGGTTGTTAACCACTGTATTGATTTTATAACACAATAATGGATCAGAACCTGGAGATTGTAAAATACTGTGTTTCCTCTAATCCTGACAAGCCATGACTCTGGGGTCCTCTTCTTTGAATGTATCCTCTATTTCCCCACCCTGTACCTTTGCTGAAAACATTTTCTCTCCTATTCCAGACTCTTGAAATGCAGTGTGTTTAAGATCTGAAACTTCTTGAAACTAGAAGCTATCTTTGATGCTCTTGCACATGTACAGTACTAGATCATATTTATTTCTTGACATTCTACACAAGTGTCCTATAATAGTATTGGTGCAGGACCAGGCACAGTGCCTCAAGCCTGTAATCCCAGCACTTTGGGAGGCCGAGGCAGGTGGATCACGGGGTCAGCAGATCGAGGCCATTCTGACTAACATGGTGAAAACCCGCCTCTACTAAAAATACAAAAAATTAGCCAAGTGTAGTGGCACATGCCTGTGGTCCCAGCTACTCAGGAGGCTGAGGCAGGAGAATTGCTTGAACCCGGGAGGCAGAGGCTGCAGTGAGCTGAGATGGCACCATTGTACTCCAGCCCTGGTAACAGTGCGAGACTCGGTCTCAAAAAAAAAAAGTATTGGTGCATATTTCTTATCTCTTGTTTTTGGCTATAAGTTCCTTGAGGGGAGGGATCATGTCTTTTATGTCTACTTTTATGTCCTTCTAAGCATTTAGCACAGTGTCTGGTATGTGAGAGTCACTCAGCCTGAAAATCTCACTCTCTCACAGTTATTCTTTCTCCAACCATTATTCTATTTAATCAACACCTCTAGGTTCTTGAACTCTTCCACTCTCTTCATAACTATCAGCAAGCTGCTTATCTTCACTTCCTTCCCTCAGATTAGACTCAGTCTAGAAGCCACTGGCCAGCACCTAACTTGTCTCTTGATATCTCTTCATCTGTCTTGCCCACCTGTCTCTTCCTTTCACATGTCTGGCAGAACTTCAACTCTGACTCAATCCAACTGTCTACATTCTTTGTTCCTCTATTCAAATTGCCAAGCATTACCATAAGAAAACCCATGATCATGCAGATAATCTAATGGTCTTCTCCCTTACCAGGTCCTTAACACACCATGAAACATTCCTATTTGGTTTCTCTAGTTGGATCTCTATCCCATTCTCCACACAGGTAACTGGTGTTTTTAATTTTTGTTTCACTCTCCTGAAGCCTTTGTCCTCAAACATTCCTTTCCAAAACCTTACTTCCAAGACTGGGTTAGTTCCCCTTATTATGTGTTCCCACAGTATTCCTAGTTACCATGGCCATAGGCTTTAACACTTTGCTTCTCGCTGCCTATTTATTTATTTGTTATAGCACAATTTGTATATTTTTTTCTTTTCTTTTCTTTTTTTTTGACATGGAGTCTAACCCTGTCACCCAGGCTGGAGTGCAATGGCATGATCTCGGCTCACTGCAATATTTGACTCCCAGGTTCAAGCAATTCTCCTGTCTCAGCCTCCTGAGTAGCTGGAATTACAGGTGCATGACACTAAACCCAGCTAATTTTTTTGTATCTTTAGTAAAGATGGGGTTTCACCATGTTGGCCAGGCTGGTCTTGAACTCCTGACCTCATGGTCTGCCCACGACGGCCTCCCAAAGTGCTGGGATTACAGGCATGAGACACTGTGCCCTGCCAACAACTTATATATTTCAAATGGGCAAAAATTAGTATCATTAACAGTATCTTAAGATAAATTTCCTTTGAATGGGAGATTCCTTTCCAGTAGTTTGAGGTCTACAAGATGTATCTAGAAAATTTACTACTATGGAAAATGAAGACTGCTTACATTGAATGTGGGGGAAGGGGAAGGACCTGTGGTTTTTCTTTTTGATCAGTTGCTGTAACACTGTCCTTCAGGTAGCTGAGGTAGTTACATATTTTCTTTAGACATCGTTAGGCAGCAAAGCTCTTACAGGACAACTTTGATGCTATATGAATTCTGCCATCTTGCTAGTGCTAATATGGCTCTTGGGTCCACTATCCCATTAGATCTACTAACTCATTTCATAGTATTTTTTGTTACAGACCTTACAAAGGGGAGTGCTTCTAGGTATTTAGATCCACATTCTACTTTAAGATTGCATATTCAGTTTTCATGAATTGTCCGAGCCCATGGCGGCTGCCATCTTGCATTGCTGTCACTTGAAGGTTGGCCCTCACGGCCTATTTAAGTTCATATATCTTACTGGACTTAAAGCTCATTGAAAACGAGAAATACAACTTATTCATTATTGAAACCCCAGAACTTATTACAGCACTAAGTACTCAATAAATATTTCTTAAATGAATGAATAAATGAATATGTAAATAAATATTAGTTAAATGAGTAAATATATCACATACAACTTTTATATGGTTATTTTAAGAGCCAGTCAATTAATTAATGCCAATAAAACCTTAGGGAATGAAAAGTATGAAATATAAATGGTTTTTATAATTTATAACAGATATAGAATTACAGCTAGTTAAGAGTTTATTATTGTCTCTATTCTAATGACTGGATAAATGGAAGTTAGGGCCACATAAATAATAGTATCTTCTAGAACAGGTATTGCAGACTTCATCATAGACCACAGTAATCTGATACAAAGAAGTCATTAATTTTATGATGGCCTAGCTTGATCCTTTTTACCTTTTAGTGTAATTCTCCACTGATTTATTCATCTAAAGATACATTTTCATGTGGCTATAACTGAAAGCATTAGGTTGCTCAGAAAACGTTGCTCCATATCTTAAGGGACAACTCAGCAACTCTTTTTCTGTATTCTTTCTTTCTTCCTTCCTTCCTTCCTTCCTTCCTTCCTTCCTTCCTTCCTTCCTTCCTTCCTTCCTTCCTTCCTTCCTTTCCTTTTATTCCTTTTTTTAAAGTTAACAAAAACTTTTCTCTGGAATATCAGTAATGTCTATCCTCTTATTTAGTATCATAGGACTTTGCTTCTGTTTCAGAATTCTCCTTCTGTGGGCAAGCCAGGAGAGGGTCCTGACCCTTAATGTACTCACTCTGACATTGTGAGGATGAAGCCCTCCTGGATGCTGAGACATATACTGGGCCAGGTCTGTGTGCTAAATAAAACAGCGGAGAAAGAGAACAGAGTGAATTTAGTGGTGCTTGGATAGCATCCTAAAGCAGAACATAGGCTTGACTGTAAGAAGGCATTACGAAGTATGGAATTTTAAGAATAAGGTGCAAAAGGAACATAACCAGGTTTTCTGAGAACCCACTGTTAAGGTCAAACACAGTGTGTATTTCTAACTGGCTGCTCTTAGAACAAAGCCTGTTTCTCAGCACAGAGATGCTCATTTTAAATGCCTGGCACTGAACACAACGACACAGGAATTTTTCACTCTCCAAGTGTCTTTGGAGGCAAGTCAAGTACACATACCTTAGGAGTTCTTTCTGCTTATTTAAATATTTTTTTCTTCCGAAAATTCAACATGAGTTATTCTTTAGCAAGCTTGCATACAATTTTTGAACATCTTATGATTTTTACCTTTATTGTCAATGAAAAAATGCTGAATTCTGCTCAGATCGTGATTAAACTAGATTGAAAATAAATGCCAAAGTTTTATTTAGGAAGTAAACTCAAGATCCTCATTTATTATAGCTGATGAGGGGAAAAAGGACAGCAAAAGTCATGGGTAAGGAAACAGGACCAAAGATGGATGTGGGAACAATAACGTTCAACTAATCACAATAATGAAAATTTCCATGATACGTTCCACATTGTAATGAAAGTTTTATCACACCATAAAATATTAACAGATTCATTATACAAGCACCAGGCTCTTTTTCTCATGTGTTGTAAAATGCTCAAACAACTTACCATGTATTCAAAAACGAATGTCAGTGTCTCTTTGGTGTGGATTATGTCATGCAGGAGCACAATATTGGCATGTTTCAAGCCCTTCAGGAGAGAAGCTAGAAAAATTGAACAAAATGTTAAATCCCTTGTTGATAATAGAAGTGCTGCTCTAAAGGTATCAGGCAGTATATATTTTTTAACCATTTCAAATCAAGCATTCTGGTTATTTTACTGCTGGAAAACAATCTCTCGTGGCAAAAGAATATTTAAAATTAGAGAACCTTCGTTATTTCAAAAATGGCAAATCATTGCATTTACACAACTTACTGTTCCTATAGGCTAGAGCGGTTGCAAAAAATATGTTTCCATTTACCTAATCAATTTCAGCAAAGCACTCAGAGCACTAAATGCTCCCCTCTGGGAATCTCATCATCCCAGCTTCAGAGCTCCAGGAGGAGAGGCCTGGAGAGATAAAGGCCTTTGGAGGAGCAGGAAATGGAGTGTTCTGCCTTCTAGAGCAGGACTTTGCCTCATATGACCAGTCTCCAAAATTCCAAGTCCTACAAGATGTCAATAGGGCCGGTGGATATGTTTGGTGGGAGGCAGGGATAAGAGCATGGAGTTGAAACATGATAGAGACTGGAGATTTCTTGAAGGTAATGTTGCAAACCTGCAGAAAGGAGAAAATGTGAACTTGAAAAGAGGAGTCTGCCAAAGCTGGAGAGCCCAGGGAGGTGAAAGTGGAGAAGGCTGAAGGCTTTCTCTTGCCTCTTCCATAATAGGTTACTAAAAGCAGCCTTGAAGGGAAGAAGTCATCACAAAAGGCCAGGAGTGCCTGGGAGGGGCGTTGAAAGGCTGTCTTTGGAGGTTCCGGAGATAGGAAGACCTCTGGCTTTAGGAAGGCAGAGGCTAGAAAAGGTACAATAAAGAGACAATGAGGCCTGGCACGGTGGCCTGTAATACCAGCACTTTGGGAGGCCAAGGCAGGCGGATCAGCAGGTCAAGGGATGGAGACCATGGTGAAACCCCGTCTCTACTAAAAAAATACAAAAATTAGCTAGGTGTGGTGGCGCACGCCTGTTGTCCCAAAGCTACTCGGGAGGTGGAGGCAGGAGAATTGTTTGAACCAGGGAAGTGGAGGTTGCAGTGAGCCGAGATCGCACAACTGCACTCCAACCCGGTGCCTGGCGACAGAGGAAGACTCTGTCTCAAAAAAAAAAAAAAAAAAAAAAAGGGACAATGAGGCCAGAGGTGGTGACTCACACCTGTGATCCCAGTACTCTGGTGACAGCATCCCTGGGAATAAAATGAAGGCACAGCAAACCAGTGATGGGTAATGAAAGAACATGGCTTCCTGGTGATATTGCTTATGCCCTACCAGCTTGTAGGTATCAGATCTGTGAGCCAGTGAACTTCTCTTTTTATTTGTCAGTTTAAGCTGACTTACACCTAAGGAAGGAGCTCCATTACACCTGTTAACCCTATTTGCTTTAATGACTAATAATGACTAATGCTCCAATTTTTACTTTTTGTCCCCAGAGTCCCTATGGGCTAAATTCATTATTTCACTTTGACAAATGTGTTGCTTTGTAAATGTAATAAATAGCTTCCCAGGCATCTGTTTAATCTCCCTAGTCTCAGACTGAAGGCCACATGGAAATTGAGGGAGTAACTTTCCCTCTTTTTGAGATGCTGCCACACCACCTAGTACCACACTTAGCCAAGAGTAAGCACTTAATTTGTCAAACATATTTATTGAGTGTCTTAAGGGAGAACTGTCTGTGGAGCCAGAAGCCCTAGTATGAATCCTGGCCCTGTCACTTCATATCTGAGTAAGCTCTGGAGAGTATCTCAACCCAAGTCTCAATTCATTCCTTAGGAAAAGAGACATCGTCTTTTCTGACTTACTTCATAGGGTTGATATGAGGATGGAATCAGATACCATTTGTGGAACCTTGGCAAATGTAAAGCATTACAGAGACGTAAATTCGAAATAATATCCCTTCCCTCAGCCTCTTGCTGCTGCCTTTCACCTTGAACCCCATCAAACCCCTCTCTCAGTCTTAAAATCTTGTTTATGGTATGTTTCTGCTAGAGTTTTTAACGCCTTCCATATTTTCTGACCATCAGCTGAGAAGGCTTGTACTTTATGTATATATTTATTTATAAATTATCTCATAAATTTCTCTTTCCCCCACCCCTATGTTATAAAGCATATAGCAAAATTAGATTTTAAAAGGATGCAGTAAAGCTGAAATTGCTAAGAATACTCTTAAGATATTTTAATTTTATGTTTAATATAATTTTAGTCTCACCTAATTATGTTACTGAAACTCCTGATGCTTCTTTTTAAACCTTGATGGCATGTTTTGTTCATTATGATGGCCTCACGCTTTCATTTGCTAAAAAGGCGAAGGAACAATATCTACCTGGGATGAGGCTTCCTGCTAACAACAGTGGGTATAAACTTCATGTAGTTTTTTTGATAATTTCAGTTTTTGTAGGAGTTGGAAAAGTGTCTGTTTTGTATTTCTCTGTTGTTCACTTGCATTTGAATTGTTAGTCTTATCTTCAGCCCACAGTTTCTTTGCAGAAATCTTTTTAAATCATACACTCATTTTATGAGGATTAGCCACTTGTACATGACAAGCCCTTTCAACTCTTTTTATCACATACAAACCTATTGGGATTACCTTCCAAATTGTCCCAAACCCCTCCCTTCTTGCCATTTCTGCCACCACCCTGGACCAAAATACTGTCATATGTTGGGTGAATGATTGCAAATGCCTCCCATCTGCCTGCTTCCCTGCTTTCTTCCTATAGGCACTTCACAGGACAGCTAGACACTGCTATGCTTCTCAAATGAGTGAGGGCATGTCCCTCCTGCTTCCAAACCCACCACTGGCCTCTCATCTTGCTTAAAGTAAATTCAAAGGACTTGCAATGGCCTGCCCACCCAGTTGTGGGTTGTGCCCATGGTGACCTGCATCTCTTCACATTCCTATCTTAGCTCACTTGGCTTTAGCCTCATTGGCCTCCTAACTGTTCTTTAGACACACTTGCAAACACGTTTCCACCCCAGGGTCTTACACTTGCTGTTGTCTTTTCCTGTAACCCTCTCTTCTCATCTCTCTGCCTTTGTCCTCCCTCACTTTCCTCAGGGCCTCTGCTCAAATAATACATATAGGTACACACTTCCTTGATCATTCTAGGTGAAATAGCAGCCCTCTACCCCATCCCACCTCAGCACCCCTCCACCCCATCCCATGTCTACCCCTTCCTACCCTCTCTCTTGGGGCCTTGCTTTATTCTTTTCCATAGCACCTGTCACCACCACCTGACACATTATATATAAATATTTGTTTATTGTCTATCTCAAATTGAGAATATAAACTCCATTGAGAGTGGGCACTTTTGTTTTTTGTTTTTTTATCGTTATATACTCAGTGCCTAGAATAATATCTGGCACTTAATAAACATTTATCTTTAAATTAGTGGTCACTAATTGGCTAATATCATTTATATACCTCTAGTTGGTTAATAAAGGGCGTTTCTGTTGAAGATGCTTTTATTCCTTTTTTCTTTTAGTTGTCTCCCTCATTAGATTACAAATATTGTATGCTTTATGGCCATGTCTAGTGCCCCGGAACTACTGAAATAGTTACATGAAAACTGTGAATTTTGCTGAATAATGAATAGGGAATTCAGATGAAAGAACAGATGATGTTTAAAGCATTTATCTCACAGTATTGTTTATCATTTTGGTCCATGCACCAGAGGGATCTGAAATGCCTACAACCTCAGATGTGTGGGTCTTAAACCCAGGAAGAAAAGGTCTTTCTTCTAATTTTAAGGACATTTTATAAACTTCACAGCAGGGTGTGACATCTGTCCTGCAGACTAAACAGTTGAGAGACATAAAAGTCAACTGAGAAGGGGGAAGATCCTAAAATTAGCATTCTGATTCTCATAAAACAGTGTTTTTTATGATTCACGTATCTTATGCATACTTATTTTTGTTTTTCTTAGAAGAAAAGACACAAAAATAAACAGGGATATCTTTAAGGCTCCAGAGGAAAGCTGATCCTCCAAGTCCTAGGACGTGGCTATATGTCATAAAGGCCTGATAGTCAAAGTCATCTCTCAGCTGTCAACTCATTGAGGGCACGGATTAAACTTGTCTTGCTCTTTGCATCTCCAGCACTAGCACAGGCCTGGCATGTGGTGCTCAATAAGTGCTCATGAATTAATGAAAGCCAGGCCAGTTGTAATGAGTTTATGAGGAATCATATAATGAGTCAATGATGTATTTGCTGCACCAGAGTAAATGGACCATTAAGTAGGGCCCATCTTTAACAGAACACTCCTTTGAAAGTTTTATAAGTATGAAATATATGTACATATTTGTAAAGGGTTTTAATTTTTTTGATGGGGTGCTGTGTAAATCTTGTGTTTATAAATGTAATGAAGGTATAGACAGAAAACAATATACACTACTTCGATAAAGGAAGGTGTACTGACTGAAGATATTTTAAAAATAGACATTTTTAAACCTGTTCTGCTATGAACAGAGATAACATATCTTTTTACTATGCTTTTGGCTTTTAGGTTAAGCTTTCTAATGCATAAAAAATTTACAATGGATACATAAAAAAAAAAGCTTCACCTTCAACCCTCATTGGACATTGAATAAAAAAGTGTTTCTAGTCCCTGTTGTTATATTTTCTCTGAACTGAGAATCACGAATCAAGTAAATGAGTCAAGTTATGAATTCCAAAAAAAGAAATAATTGAAATAATTTTAGATAAATGTTAGAGAAATATTAAGACAAGCATCAAACAAGTAGTTGTACTGGTATTTTTTGAATTGTAATGCTAATCATATACCATTATCCTGGCACTATTTTGTTTTATAAAGATGTAACTGTGCACAATGAATTTGCTGTGTTTGTGATGTGATTTGATTGCATTCAGTGGCAGACTTTCTGTCAACCAGGCCTACCCTAGACTATTTGTGGTCATTGGCAGTTCAGAGGTTCTAATCAGCCTCCTCCCCTGCTTCGTTGTATGACCTTAGGGAGGCTCCTTAGCTTATTTTTGGCTCAGTTTTATCATATATGGATTGGGAGTTATTACTTTGCAATGTTTTTCAACTAGAGAATGATCTTAAAAGATTCTTAGCTGACACTATTTCTAATTTAAACACTGCAATTACCGGCACTATAGAATCAATGATGGAATCAGAATTGATGAATATGCAACATGATATGTTATTTTCCTTAAAATACTTTTTCTGGATATACAAGTGGCCAACAAACATGTGAAAAAATGCTCAACATCACAAATCATCAGAGAAATGCAAAAAAACCAGTGAGATACCATTTTGCACCAGTCAAAAAGGCTATAATTTAAAAGTAAAAAATTAAAGGATGTTGGTAAGCTTCAGAAGAAGAGGGAATGCTTATACACTGTGGGTAGGAACATTAATCAGTTCAGCCACTGTGGAAAACAGTTTGGAAATTTCTTAAAGTGAGACAGGGCAGGCAAACCCCAAGACTTGTGCTTGGGAGGGTTCTTGGCTTCACCCGGGAAATAATTCAAGGGTGAGCCAGTGGTGTTAGACAGCAGCTTTTATTGGAGTAGCAATATGCAGCAGCAGCAGGTATATTGCTCCTTGCAGAGCAGGGCTACCCCATAGGCAGTGTGCCCAGAGTAGCAGCTCAGAGTTAGCTCTGCAGTTATATTTATACCCACTTTTACATATATGCAAATTAAGGGGCAGTTTATGCAGAAAGTTTTAGGAACACAGTGGTATTTCTGGGTTGTTGGGTTGTTGCCATGGGAAAGGGTGGTAACTTCCAGGTGTTGCCATGGCAATGGTAAACTGACATAGCACACTGGTGGGTGTGTCTTTCGGAAAGCTACCTCCATCCAGGCCCTGTTTTGGCTAGTCCTAAATTTGGTTTAGTATTCAAGCCTGCTTTTGGAGTCAAGTCCCACCTCCTACTTCAAAAAAACTAAAATCAAAATTACCATTTGACCCAGCAATTCCATTACTGGGTATATACCCAAAGGAAAATAAATTGTTCTGCCAAAAAGACACCTAGATTTGTATGTTTGTCACAGCACTATTCACAATAGCAAAGACATAGAACCAACCTACATGCCCATCAGTGGTGGATTGGATAAATAAAATTTGGTACACTGGCACCATAAAAATACTACATAGCCAAAAAAAAAGAACAAAATCATGTCCTTAGCAGCAACATGGATGCAGATGGAGACCATTATCCTAAGTGAATTAACACAGGAACAGAAAACCAAATACTACATGTTCTCACTTACAAGTGGGAGCTAATAAGTGGGGTATTGGGTACACACAGACATAAGATGGGAATAATAGACACCACACTGGGGACTCGAAAAGGGGAGAGGGAGGGAGAGGGATACGGGTTGGAAAATTACCTATCAGGTACTATAGTCACTATTTGGGTGATGGGACTCCCCAGTATCATGCAATATACTCATGTAACAAACCTAGACATGTACCCCTTGAATCTAAAATTAAAGTTTAAAAAATACTTCTGCATTTTCCTTAATGTTTATACAAAATGTATAATAAAAAATAGATTTCTATTTTTATTTTTGCTGTTGCTAAACAATAAACACTTTAATCAAACATTTCAAAATTCATCATATAAAGTAGAAAGAATTTAAAATAGAATAGATATGGATTCGAACAACTCTGATTACTATCTCTGTGACCTCAGGCAAGTTACTTAACCTCTCTGAGGCTGGAATTCCTTTATCTCTACAACAAAAATAGCACATTTTACTTCCTAGGATTGGTATAAAGGTGTTTTAAAAAGTATTATGTAGGGGGAGGGGGAGATTATGTCATATGCCTGGTCCTCAAAAAAGATTAGTTATACGGCTCCTTCCCAAGAAAAATGCTATTAACAGGCTGAAGGCTTCAGTTTAAACCAAATGTTGACCACTTAAACAAAAATATTTAAAACAATGCACATTTTAAAGATATTTAAAGTGTTTTCTCCAAGTTGTAAAAATAAACACTCAAAATACAATTCTAGAGTCAATTATGAGAGATTTCTAAGGTACTATGAAGGCTTCTGCTTTTCTTAATTAGCTAAGGGATGAGGGCGGTAGGGAACATGTCTATTTTGTGTATTGCTGTGTATCTAGCAGTAAGCAGAGTGCCTGGTCTTAGTGGGCGCTAAATAATTATTTCTAGAGTAGATGCATAGAAAGCATACGAATTTTTGAATCAGAGAGATTTGGTTTGAATCACCATCACCATCATATAGTGGAATAATGTTAATAATATCTATCTCTAAAGGTTGTGAAGAGGATTAAAATAAGTATGAAAAGCACCTGACACATGTATTATTTCCCTTAGTGCTGTTTATACTTTTGCTAATTTCATATCACATGTTAAGTTCAAATGAAAATAATATTCCAAATGACCAGACTAGTAAATTGCTGCATGTATTCTACCTGTACAGAAAGAGACCGTATATGTAGTAAAATCATACTTAATAAATCTTTGGCTGCTATACCATCAGGGCAGCCAAATTGTTCAGGAAAAGTAATTCCTGCTTCAAGGCTTTTTAAAGAAGGCTGCATTACTTGTTCAGTTTTCCTGCACGTGCCTTTAGGTTGCCTTTTCAGCTAGTGACTGTGGATTTTAACTAATGAACTCCAGCTGTTCTTATTTTGCCTTCCAGACCTTCTCATTTAACCTCCTGTCTCCCTGGTCTCACATCCTTAAAGTTCTTACAGGAAAAATGGGACAGTGCCAAAGTTTTCAAATGAAGCCTCATATCTTCTTGAGGGGAGAGCACTATTTTTTTTTTTTTTAACAAGGGCTCCAAGCTTTTACACTGGTGTAAAAAGAAACATTCCTTGTTGGAAATTGGATGCCTAACAACCTCCAATGTGTCAGAAATCCTTTTGTGGTTTTTAATATTACACAAGCAAAGCATTGGGTAAGGAAAGTCCATAAAACAAACCAAGAAAGCCCACAGTTGAATACTAAATATAATTGTAAACACCTGTGATGGAGAAGGCAATTTCTCCATAAATATGCAATGAAAGAAACATTTAGCATGTAGAACAAAACAGAACCAGCTTTTCCGAACCATGCTGAGAACCATCTGTTAGCAAACCTGGCAAAAGGTTTCACTGTTACAGTTAAATGTCAGCCTGAAAAACTTGGCTGTGGGCAGTATCTGAGCAAAGCCAGTCTTAAGCAATTGGCAGACTCAAGCTCACAAAGGAGACCTTCCCCTTATGCGGGTGACCTGGGAATTTCTATTATGCTCACAGATACTCTTTAACCTATCCATACATCTCTTTCCAAATCTGATCATCCTTTAATGGAGACCATTAATAAGTACTTTAGTAAATGCAGTTTCCATTATATTAAACACTTAAAACCATGCCTTCTCCCAGAATGCACCTGATCCGACCAGGATGAATCTGGCTAAACCAATAGCCCATTTGGCCCTTCCAATTAAATTCAAAATGATGTATTTCCCAGGGGCTCTGAAAGACTTTTGAAAAGGGTATCAAATTCAGTTATAAACTCATTTTCAGAATTGCTTTTTCCATGCCTGTTTGCATAACCCATCCTTCCAAGCTCAGATCAAAATCAATGAACTCCATCAGTCACACTGAGACTAAGTTGTTCTCATCTTAGTTTATAATGTCTTTTATATACTTGTAACTTGAATCATGTGCTCTGTTAAGACTGCAAATGACAGAACAAAGATATGGGTTTCTCTTCTCATCCTTCACAGCATCTAGCAGCATACTCTGCATATAGTATGTGCTCAGTGAAGAAGGGAAGAGAAGTAGTTAAAAGTGGGAGAAAGTAAGTCCAGGGAAGTGCCATTTCTCTGGAATTTTGCTGAAATGCATAGCAATCCTATCATCATCTTATTTCAAATGGCTCATGCAATAAAGGCTGATAAATTATATTTTTTCATGATTCATTTTCACTATGTTGGCCTCTTGACGATTATATTATAAAGTATTTGTTATCTTAATGGTAAATAAGACATTAGCCAGGGAAAGAAGTAATAATGGAATAATAGTAGCCAACATTTGTTGAACTCTGAAAAATAGACTCTGTGATAAGTGCTTTATATACATATTCTTGTTGAATCCTCATAACAACTACATTAAATAGGTACTATCATTATCCATTTTATGCAATAAACTGAGTCATAGTTAGGTAATCTACCCAACATCATACCATAGTGATTGGTGGACCTATGCTGCAAACCCAAGTCCTTTTGAAACCAGGTTCCTCACCCACTTGCAGGGCACAGAGAAAATACAGGCAGAACAATAAAAATGCATCCCTTCTGGAAATTCTCCAAGTGCTAGCTAAATAACACGTTATGTTCAGAATTTGTGTGATTATATATTTTCTCTTTTATAGGAATTTTCTGAGGTTATATAGGTATAGCCTTAGCACCTAGATGAGGCCAAACACATGGAAAGTATTAGTCATTGCTCAGTGAATTCATAGTTTTGGTCAAGTGATATAATAGTTTTAAATCTCAATTTCTTCAAAATTAAGTAATAAAATAGCAGTGTAAATGCTCCTGAAAAACTTGTAAGAAAAGTAAAAATGTAATTACAGTATTCTGGAAGAATCAAAAATAGATGCTGAACGGATCAATGCAATGCATTTTTTACCAAATCAAGGACTCAAAAGAGACCTATTGGGTTCATTTCTGCTGTTCTTACCTTCTCGGATAGCTGTAAATGGGACTCCTTCCTCTGCATTCATGCTGATAACTTTTAAAGCCACTAGTTGTCCATTTATTCTAGAAGAGAGGGATTGAGGGGCACACACTTATTGAGGTGGTTCAAAGCAGCAACTTATACCAAAGATGGCTTAATAAAAGCAATTTTACTTCAAAATATATTCTAGCATATAAATCTATAATGTTCTCAAAATAGAAAGTTTAATATCTATAAATGCATATGTAATGTACATACACCTAAGCATTTTCCCTCTTTACTAAAGTGAGATATATATATATATATATATATATATGTTTATTATAGAAAATTTGGAGCATATTATTATTTTTCATCTGACTTATTGTGGTGGTCTTCTTCTTCTTTTTTTTTTTCCTTTTTGAGACAGTGTCTCACTCTGTTGCCCATGCTGGAGTGCAGTGGCACGATCTCAGCTCACTGCAATGTCTGCCTCCGGGTTCTACCGATTTTCCTGCCTCAGCTTTCTGAGTAGCTGGGACTACAGGCATGTGCCATCATGCTGTTAATTTTTTGTATTTTAGTAGGCATGGGGTTTCACCATGTGGCCAGGATGGTCTCCATCTCCTGACCTCATGATCCACCCACCTCAGCCTCCCAAAGTGCTGGGATTACAGGCGTGAGCCACTCTGCGCCTAGCTGAGGCATGCCTTTTAAATGACAATCAGGACAAGTCACTTTTCTGTTCAAAAGCCATCACATCCCCACACTTTACCCAGAATAAAAGCCAAATTCTTGCAGTAGCCTTCTAAGTGCTACCTCATCTTTCCAGGCTGCACCATTATCTCTCTCTTTCTCTTCATTTCCTCCTACTATCCCCTTATTCATCATTTTATTCATGATATAAGCTAAGTGCTGAGAACAGAGAAGATTTTAATGCAGGTATAAATCCATTGTTTTTAATACAGTGGGATTAAAATCATATTGTTAGTAATCTTTTTTCCTCCATGTAACTTTTCTCTTACAGTTTATTCTTGTACAATCGATATTGAATAATGATGTAACATTTCATCATATAAATATACTACAATATATTTAGCCAATTTCAAATGCCTTTCAATTGTTTCTAGCTTTGGGCTATCATAAAAATACTGTGATGAACATACTTGTTGACAAATCTTTTCACAAAGCCCCAATTATTTCCTTAAAGTAGAGGCAGAATTGCTGAATCCAAGAGTACACAGTGCACATGTTTGTATTCATTTGTACTCATGTTCCCAAACTGTCTCATGGAATAATGGCACAGTAACTGGTCATGAGAGTGGCCATTTTCCCACTCCCTCACCAGCATGGGGCAGGTTTTGTTATAGGGGCTTTTGGACTTCACTTTTTAGAACAGTTTTAGATTTCTAGAAAAACAGAATACAGTACGAAAAGTTCCCATATATCTCCCATCTAGTTTCCTCTATTGTTAACATCTTACATTAATATGGTACATTTGTTATAATTAATGAATGAATATTGGCACATTATTACTAACTAAAGTCCATGGTTTATTAGGGTTTCTTTAGTTTTTACCTAATGTCTTTTTTATTTTTTGGTTCAGGATCCCATTCAGGATTACACTCAGCCGTCCTGTCTCCTTAGGCTCTTCTAGACTGTGGCAGTTTCCCACACTTTGTTTTTGATGGCCTTGACAGTGTTGAGGAGTACTAGTCAAGCATTGGGTAGAACACCCCTCTCTTGGAACTTTTCTGACATTTTTCTTATGATTAGACTGGGTTATGGGTTTGGGGGAGGTAAAGTACCATCTTTATCAAATCATGTTAAGAGTGCATACCTTCATCAAGATTTATGACTTTTGATGTTGACCTTAGTCACCTGTCTGAGAGAGTGTTGGTCAGGTTTCTCCATTATAAACTTACTCTTTCTCCCCCCTTTACATACAGCACTTTTAGAGAAATGCCACTATGAATGGCCCACACTTAAGAAGTAGAGAGTTATGGTGCACTTCTTTGAAGGTGTCTTATCTACATAAATTATTTGTTTTTATTTGGCATGAGAGATTTGTTTCTTCTCTCCCATTTGTTAATTTATTGAATCATTCATCTATATCAGTATGGACTCATAGATATTTATTTTATACATTGGGTTATAATTTAATACACTTTATTTTGTTGCTCAAATGTTTGCAGCTTTGTCCTTTGGAAGCTCTTTCAGTGGCTCCTGTGTCCCTTTGACATAGACCTATCGTGTGGGTTTGCTTTTTGCTTTTATCTTCATATGTTTGGCCTATTTGAAAGGCAAAAAGGTTTGTCACATTTTAATTCATATTTCTTTAATCACATGTGAAACTGACTTTTCCTAAGTTTATGGATCTTTTCTGTTTTTCTCATGATTTGCCGATTTGCCCATCTTCTTATTGAACTATTTTACATATGCTTTCCCCCAGTTTCTTTTGTTTGCCTTATCGTATCTTTGACATTTTGTTTAAAAGTTTTATGATGTAAGTATTTTCCTCAGAACATGGTTCTGTGAAATTCTCCCCCAACTCCTGCAAAAAGTTTTTTGGTAAATATAATAGAAAATGCTTTATACTTTCTTTCTTTTTTCTTTTTCTTTTCTTTTCCTTTTCTTGAGACAGAGTCTTACTCTGTTACCCAGGCTGGAGTGCAGTGTCACTGATCTCAGGTCCCTGCAACCTCCACCTCCAAGGTTCAAGCAATTCTCCTGCCTCAGCCTCCTGAGTAGCTGGGACTACAGTTTTATAAATAAGGTAACACTTGAACTGGGAATCTGACATAGGGTAGGAGTCAGCTGTGTGTATGAACAGTGGAGGGCAGCTCCAGGCAGAGGGAACAGCAAGTTATAAGTCCTTGATTGAGGCAGGAGCAGTCCTGGCATTGGAGCGGGAGAGTGGAAGGAGATGAGGACAGGGAGGAGCTGACTGTGTGCTGGGGGATGGAGGATAGGGATTGTATAGGGTCTTGTACAATGACCATTCCAGGGACTGTTGTATTAGCTATTTACAGGATATTTGTATTAGAAAATAGGTTGGGTGCAGTGGCTTATGCCTGCAATTCCAGCACTTTGGGAGGCTAACGCGGACGGAACACCTGAAGTTGAGAGTTCGAGACCAGCCTGATCAACATGGAAAAATGCTGTCTCTACTAAAAATACAAAACTAGCCAGGCATGGTGGTGCATGCCTGTAATCCCAGCTAATTGGGAGGCTGAGGCAGGAGAATCACTTGAATCTGGGAGGTGGAGGTTGTGGTGAGCCGAGATTGCGCCATTGCACTCCAGCTTGAACAACAAGAGCGAAACTCCATCTCAAAAAAAAAAAAAAAGGAAAAGAAATAGTGCAAAGATGTCAATAATTCTCTAATTTAGAGTTTTGATATATTCTAAAAATATTCTAAAGCCACAATAATGAAAATCATACAGCACAAATATAAGAAAAGATAGATCAAAGAAACATGATTTTTAAAAGATTAGAACAGTAACAATTTCAAGTATTCGTGAGATCTAATATATAATCACGGTGGCATTTCAAACTATCAGAGAAAAGAAAATCTAATAAATGGAGCTGGGATGATTGTGAATATACATACAATATAAATTCCCAATAGATAAAGAGTTAAATGAAAAAGAAAATATACAGTAACTATAAGAAAAGAGAAGTGAATTCTGTGTAAATGTTGGCCTGGAAACGTCTGTTTGTGCGTAACAATCAAGTCAGACTCAGAAGGGAAGATCAGAAGTATCCATGGAGTCCATGTACTGGAGTATGCTCTAGGGTGCCCCAGTTCTGAGCCACCTTGAGACAGTTATCATGGCCAAATTGATATAAGGAACCTCAGAATAAAATGAAATGTGGTCCTTTATTGCAGATATTCTCAGCATTAAAAAAAAAAAAGTTAAAGTACACCATGACTAAAAAAGATTAAGAAAGTATAAAGGACCAGGGGCAGGAGAATCACTTGCACCCAGGAGGCAGAGGTTGCAGTGAGCTGAGATGGTGCCACTGCACTCCAGCCTGGGTGACAGAATGAGACTCCATCTCAAAATAAATAAATAAATAAAATAAAATTGTATTTCCCCTGCAATCTTGTTTTAACAAGTAAAAATAATAACAACAACATAAATATTAAGATAAATAATGAATATTTAGTCTTGTAGTAGTTATATAAAATTTTTCTTTTTTTTCTTTTTTCTTTTTTGGCCAGTTAAGTGAAGCAGTGGGAGAACTGATTGTGACAAGTAGTTGTAGACACCACTGCATTAGGATCAGCTACATTATGTTTCTAAAATTAATATTTAACCACTAATGAGCCATTATTTTTCTCTATTGGAGTAACATAAATTAAGGAAACAACCTTCCAACTTTCCCACCTTAACTAAAAGAGGAATTCATGAATCTTTTATATATATATTTAACAAAGTTTGTTATTTACCAAAATTAGTACTTAGCTTTTGGATAAGCAGTCTTTTTATTCTCTAGACATTTTGTATATTTTGCAAGTGTAGAAAATCTAGGATTTATCATTTTTGCATGTACCATAATTTGCAGAAACCAACTTCAAGTTCTTCTACAAGGGCAGGTGGAGGAATGAGGCTGCCAACTCCAGGCTGTCATTGCAAACCTCTGTCATTGTGATTTAGGGAGGGATATAAAAAACCTGTTAGAGACACTTTACCAATTGCTTCCCACCAGCCTGAAGAGTGGTAACTGTTCTTTGGGTCAGAAAGTCCATTTTCTTTGAATTGAATGCAAGAGAGGAAAGGCTGATAAACATTTAAGAGGGCTGATTTTAATTAAAGCAGGGCAAGTTTGTTTTTCTTTCAAGGCTATTTAAGTCATCATGTCTCTCTCCCTATTGGCTGTGGTGTCTTGCACAGGTCCTCAATGCTATGAACTTCTGTGATGTCTCACTTGGTCTTATAATGTGAAATGATGGGGGCGGGACCCTCATCTCTAGAGTCTCTCCCACCTATGTGGCACTCACCTGCTAATCCCCTTGTAAACTGTAGCATAAGAACCTTCACCCAGCTTCTCCAAGTTCAAGTAAGATGAGGCTGCCCCAAAAGGGAGGCTCTTTCTCTGCTTAAGAGTAATAGGGAAAAGGGGCGGGTGAGAGGGAAGAGAGAAAGAGCACTTTTTATAATGTTGACTTTTTTCCCCCAGGGAAATTAGACAGCATTGCCAAAGCAGACTTGGGAAGGCTCGCTCAATAATTGCCCTGGAAGTAAGGGCCGGCCTCCCTAGACAAGCACACATTAAATTCTTCTTGATCAACATCAGCTGCTCACTCACCCACTGAAAACCCTGCCTCAGATCCTCTTCCTGAAAAGAATCACTGTTACTCCGTGGCCTTTTACTCTTGAACTTCTGGGCACGGACAGCCTGAAGTCCCCTGGGGTGAAATGAAGTCATGGAACATGATGCTTCTTTTAGGTCTGTTAGCTAGAGAAAAAGGAAAGAGCAGAAATAAAATTTATGCAAAGTAAAGATTCAGTGCCTGGCAAAACCATATTTTCTTCATTTGCCTCATTTTCACTTTTCAAATGTTTTCTAAGCTTTCTACACCCCCAAAAGTCACTTTTCTTGAAAGACCCCTGAAAAAGACCATAATGGTATCAATTGTTGAAATATTACATTCTTTCTTCACCTAAAAATATGTCTTTAACTTTTAGGTTAACCTAAACCTCTTGGATGGATGTTTTTCAAGTATTTTCTGTTTAAGTTGGGCTTTTTAAAAAATCATGTGCACTTAATTTATTGCTGTAGGGGAATAATCTAGTATGGCATTGCTAATAATCATGAACTAATTATGACAGTTTTGAATCCACAGCATACCAACCAATACTGCAGCTTGCCTTTTAAGTTTCAGCTCCGTAATTTAGGACCTTAGAGATTTTGAGAGAACTACTTTCTCAACTTCAAGCCAAGTGAGTTTCGTGCAGCCCAAAGCCATGGATTATTTTTCCCTTTTGGTTTACAAGAAATTCCCCAAATTTGATAAATACAGCCATAAATTTTCTGTGACTTTAATAGAATTTTCATTTTATTGGTTTAGACCTACCACAGAAGAATCAGACCCTGCTAACAAAAAGGGAGTGCCTGAACTCCTTGGTTTGTCAATAGAGAAAGATGCTCTCCTCCTGGGATACAAATACCTTGAACGCAGACTCCATGGTCTCAGGCTGGCTCCTCCAACAGCTGCGAGCCTCACCTCCCTCTGAACAACGAGAGCAGCTGCATCCAGGCTGTACAGTCTTTGCACACAGCTCTTGACCCATAATCTTCTAGGTTCAAGGAGAAAACTCGCACTTGAACCTCTCCCCCTCTGCCTCTCCTATCCTCGTTCTCTCCCTTTTTGCCAGAGGTCAGCAGTGTGGAGCTTTCATATGACTCACATGAGGGCTCTGCCTGGAGCAGCCTCATGACTTCAGCAGTTTTTCCTTATCAGTGCAAGAAACTCTACATCAGAAAGGGATTGCTTGCAGTCAGATGTGCACCGCTGAAAACGACACAGCTGATATTGAATAGAATAAAATTTGGCACAGTTAAGGTGGTTGTTCTGGCCACAAGTTAGTGCTATTGGTATACATAGTTTTTAGGGATTGACATTGCTTATCTATGTAATGAAATGTATATGATATCATTGATAGTGATGTTAGGTTTAATATTAGGTCTTCCTGGTATTAAGCTGGATACATTGAGGAATATTTTCTCCCTGCCTTTTATCTGCAAGCATTTTGGTTTTCAGACTTTAAAACAAATTTGCTACCTAGTTAACTTTTAATAGTCAAAGAAATCACAGAATCACAAAACAGGAAGAAAGTTGAAGATATCTACTCCATCTCTTGCCTTGAACAATAATGTATCTAATAGTCTCAGAAGTGTTGCCATTCATTCATTTATTCAAAAACTATGTGGTGAGCACCTGTGTTCTTCTTAAACATACAGATGATGATATTAGCCAATGATGATGGAGAGAAAGGGGTTTAAATGAAATACTTTATTCCTTTAACATATACGTAATTAATGTTTATTATATGTAAAGTACAATATTAATAGCAGACATGTCAAAGACTCTGACTCAAATTGGTTTGCAGTCTGTAGTCTTCAAACACAGCATTTTTCCCTGCTAGACTCCTAAGATTATTGCACTATAATGTACTAATCATAGAGTGAGACAGAATGGAGAATATAGAAACAATCATTATTAAGGGAAAAAAATAAGAGTCATGTCTATTATCACAACAATATTTATGAATATTTGATATTTGAATCTCATGATGGTTTTTAAAAAATGTTTAATTTAATTAGGAGCATGTATTTTTTCATTTCAAAATTGCCACAAGAGACTTTAACCAATTCCAAGATTCAATCAAATTAGAGATATTTTGTGAAAAAAAAAAAAAGAAAAGGAAGAATACTTGGCTTAAAGACCATTACACTGACAATTGAGAGAGTGAGAAGCTAGTTTCTTAGAATATTTAATAACATTCAAATTTATAATAACATAACTATAATACATTTTATCATAAATGCTAATTTCTTCCTAAAAGATTGTGAATTTCATCACGTAAAAATTATGTTCCAGATCAAGTTTACAATGACTTTTCTTGCATTTTTGTTTTTGAAAACAGAGTCTCACTCTGTCTCCCAGGCTGAAATCCAGCTGGGCGATCATGACTCACTGCAGCCTCAGCCTCCTGGGCTCAAGTGATCCTCCCATCTCAGCCTTCCGAAGTAGGTAGGACTGCAGGCCTGTGCCATGGCACCCAGCTCATTATTTTTCATAGTCACAGGGTCTCGCTATGTTGCCCAGACTGGTCTCCAACTCCTGGCTTCAAGCATTCCTCCTACAGCTTCTCAAGTAGCTGGAACTGGGGGTGCATGCCCTGATTCCTGGATAATTTTTTTAATTGTTTGTACAGACAGAGGTTTCACTATGTTTCCCAGCCTGGTCTCCAACTCCTAGGGTCAAGTGATCCTTCTGCCTCCCAAAGTGCTGGGAATTCAGGCATGAGCCACAGCACTACCCTATAGCCTGAAAATAATAATAATAATAATAATAAATATTATTATTATCATTTTATATTTATTTATTTATTTATTATTTTATTTTTATTATTATTATTATTATCATTTTGGATGACGGAGTCTCACTCTGTCATAGTCTGAAATGCAGTGGCACAATCACGGCTCACTGCGATCTCTGCCTCCCAGGTTCAAGCAATTCTCCTGCGTCAGCCTCCCCAGTACCTGGGACTACAGGTGTATGCCATCACACCTGGCTAATTTTTGTATTTTTAGTAGAGATGAGGTTTCACTATGTTGGCCAAGATGGTCTCGATCTTCTGACCTTGTGATCTGCCCGCCCGGGCCTCTCAAAGTGCTGAGATTACAGGCATGAGCCACTGCACCCTGCCTAGCCTGATTATTAAAGGTATAAATTGCTATATTTAGGTACTAGAATGAGCTACTTTTTTTTTTCTTTTCTTCCAGAGACAGGGTCTTCCTTCTGGTTCAGGCTGGAGTGCAGGAGCTATTCACAGGCATGCACTGTGTACCTGCTTAGAACTCCTGGGCTCAAGCAATTATCCCACCTCTGCCTCCCAAATAGATGGGACTACAGGCGTGCACCACCACACTGGCTTTATGGTCTTGTTTAAAGCCAAGGAAAAATATCTGGTGACTTCTTAAGATGTTTTCTTGCTCTGTGTCAGAAATAAGTTTGTTCTGAAAGATTTCTGAAGGAGAGAATACTTAGACAATTTCATTTAGCATTGTACATTAGGCTCAGTTTGTGAACTGCTCCAGGTTGACTTGCTGCACCAACTTTAGCAGCCTGGTCACCATCATAGCAAGAGAGGCCATTTCTGGGGTCTTGAAGCACACTCACTGTTGCTACTACCTCCCCCCATCATAGGACAAGGAGAAGACCTTTGTGCTTCCCCACCAGCCTAAATAGACCAAGAGCCCAAGAGGCTCAGGCTTCCATAGCAACTGCTTGCAAGGGTCAGGTGACACAATCCAGAAGTGCAGGAAGTTCCGTGGAGTGCACTTCCACCACTGGGAAACCAGAGCTATTTGTTGTGGAGCTGAGATCAGCTCAGAAACGTGATCCATTGTGGGAGTGTTGCTTCAGCCTGGGAATTTGAGGTTGCAGTGAGATATGATTGCATCACTGTACCCTATCCAGGGCAAAAGAGTGAGACCCTGTCTCTTAAAAAAAAAAAGAAAGAAAGAGGGAGAGAGAGAAAGCAAGAGAGAGAGAGAGAGAGAGAGAGAGAGAGAGAGAGAGAGAGAGAGAGAGAGACATAAGTAAAGGGAAAAAGATCTTCCATTTATAAGGCTGATGCAAAAGTAGTTACAATTTTGCATTATTTTCAATGGCAGAAACCACAGTTACTCTTGCACCAACCTAATAATCCTAGTAATTTGCTTTATTCTTCTCCTCATTTCTACTTCCCTAGGACTGTACAAGCTGCCCCTACAACCCCACCCCTTTTGCTCCAGGCTCTGTTTTCAGGGAAATCGTGTGACAACAAATGGTAGGCAGTTTTAAAATTGGCAGTAAAAATTTTAGGTTACTGATCATTTCAGGCTAGCTTCTCCACCCACCACATTTTTGGAGTTCTTTTTCCTTTCTCAAGTGGTGTGAATTCAAACTACTATGTTTAGTTAAGAGTTGGCCATTTTTTCCCAATCTTTGCAATCTGCCTTTATTAAATTTAGCCAAATATAACATTTCTAGAACATGTTGATTATCACAGCATTCAAAAGATATGAGAAATAATGTAAAATCTATGTCATAAACATTGAAAATGATTCATATATTATTTAATGACATTAGAGAATTCATATATGTCCACACAATGGAGTAATAAGCAGCTGTTAAAAGAAAGGAGATCTATATATAATGACATGGAGTGATCACCAAAATATATTAAGTTAAAAAAGCAAAATGCAGAACAATATTTATAGTATATTACCTTTGGTGGCAAAGAAATGAAGGTAAATAAGGTGTAGTCAGGTCCAGGCATGTTGGCTCACACCTGTAATCTCAACATTCTGGAAGGCCAAGGGGGGAGGATTGCTTGAGCCCAGGAGTGGGAGGCCAGCCTGGGCAACATAGTGAGACTCCCAACCCCAAAAATAAAAATAACAAATGAAAAAGTGTAGTAGTAGTAACCTTACCAATAGTAGCAGTATTATTACTATTGTTTTAAATCTGTTGTAGAGGAAAAAAGATTTCTCACCCATCTCTAGCTTCATGGACGATATTCATATAACAGATTAACAAGAGAAAAGCATGTAAATTTACTTGATGCAAGTTTACACAATACAGGAGCCTTCAGAAATGAAGACCCAAAGAAACAGGGAAATCTGTATTTTTATGCTAAGCTCGATGAAGAAAAGTGGATAATTGTGAAGAAATGTGATTGGAGGACAAAAGGGTCTGATCTAATGGCAAGAAACTGGGGAGAACCTAGCGAGACCTGTTTGTTCAGATTATTCTTGGCGTCTCTGTGTCTTCAAGGATAAGGATATTCCTTTCTATTGGGTATAGGAAACTTATCTCTGGAGTTGAGGTCTTATGACCTACTTTAGAGGGAAGTCAACTAGATTTTATGACCTGCTTTGAGGGAGAAGGGATGACAGGAAGATGGGAAGATGAGAATGACTTTCCTGCTTCTGCTGTTTACTCAAATATCAAGGCACCATATTTGGGGGTAGCATATTCTGAACCCCATCATTATTATAGGCATATATCAGGTTAAAACTAGTGAGTAATTATGCTAATGTCATTGGAAACCAAACTTTTCAGCATGAGAGAAAATAGATATAAATATTAAATCGAAGAAATCAAGTAAAATTATGTGATCTTAAATTTGATTTAGAAATATAAACTTATGGTTTTTATTTGTTTTTAAAAAAAGTGCTGTCAACCAAAAAGACCTGGAAGCAATGACAATTAAAAAGACCTAGAAGCAATGACAACTCAGTAGCAATGAGCAGTCCTACTGCTCCAATTTTGGTCTCTTAATACCATTTTCCACTAAAAAGAAAGAGCTATACATCTGTGGAGAAATAGTGGGTTCCAGAATCCAGGTCTGGAGTATGAACTCTACAAATGAGCCTGGGATATCTTTCTTGCCAGAAAGCAAGGTGGTTATCAAGAAAGTTGTCCTAGGCGCATTTTAAGCCAACTGGAGTCATGTTAGAAGGATATGAAAGCCAACCTGAAAGGGACTCCCATTGGTTTAAGAATGGGAAATTAGAGTAGCCAAAATAAAAAATAATAAAAAAAGATAATGACTGCAATGGATTGAAACACATAGAATGTGTAAAATCTACAACTTTACAGTAATTTTAAACAAAACAGTCACTTGAAGATTTCTAGTTTACAAACTTATTACTCTGAATATTAATAAAGGAGAAAAATCAAGTATTTTTTTGTATTTCCTATATAAATTATTTTT